GACACCATTAGTAGGATTATCCTAAACAGGTTGGTTTACACAGATAATGATCTACTAATTTCTAGTATACAGAAGATTATAAGAGCTTTCAAATTCCTTTGGTTTAGAAATGAAATCTCATCTAACCTTAAAATAGTAAATTTCTTAGATATCACATCCTTTCGAACAACACCTATAAGCCGTTTCACAAAGACAATCAAACTCCTATTTATATTAACGTCAACTCTAACCACCCCAATTCAATCCTTAGACAAATTCCAAACACTGTAAACACTAGAATAGATTATCTTCTAACAAAAACATTTTCAATGAAAATCAAAAAGAAACTTTTAATGAATCCTTCAATAAGAGTGGCTTCAACTAAAAATTATTTTACCAAGAATCATTAAAAGAAAAGTAATATGACTTAACCCCACTTTCTGCAAATTCATCAAACATGAATATTAGTAAATACTTTCTTAAATTGATTGATAAACACTTTAAATAAAACAACCCGCTACATAAAAGTTTTAACAGAAAAACTTTAAAAATCTGTTATTCCTGCACGAACACTCTTCATATTATCAATATAAATAGTAATAATATATTACGCAAATTCTATAACAACTTGGTCGTTGTTATAGAATTTAAATAACAAGCCCTCTTGCAATTGTAAAACCAAAATCGACTGCTCAGTTGGAGGTATATGTAAATCTAAAAATATTGTATAGCAGGCAACCATCTTCCCAAAAGAAAATAAAAATGATAAAATGTACGCATCGGAATTTCCGCTGGGAATTAGAGATAGAGGTTATATAATCGCAGGCATTCATTCTCTGACACTTCCTTAATACACCAAACAGCTCTCTCAAAACATTTCTAGAAATTGAAAGATAGAGGCTTCACTCCACTGATCAAGTGGAACATCATCAATAAATCACAAACTCCTAACACCTACAAAAATAGATGCAACCTATGCCCGGAAAAAAAAATTCAAATAATTAAGTACAAAAATACTAGCCAGTTATTGAACCAGAGAAATGAAATCATATTTAAATGTCGCCATAAAAATAGGTGAAAATTATCATAAAAAACAGATATTTATTTTGCAAGTTAAACACTAAAAAATATATGTTTATGTTTCTAATTATAGTTGTGGCCAGTTAGGGGAACGAAAGAAAGAACACAGGAAGAAAAAAATAGATTGAACAAGTGTATTGAAATAACAGATATATACAAAGAGTGTTAGTAGTCAGCAGATAGAAGTGTCCGTCCAAACTGTCAGGTTACAATGCATCTCGACTGCCTCCCGTAGGAAGTCTCGCAGGTTGGTATTTATGAAAGGAAGAAGAGTTCATTCCCATGTAGGTAGGTACCATAACAATATGGTATATATATATATATATATATATATATATATATATATATATATATATATATATATATATGTGTGTGTGTGTGTGTGTGTGTGTGTGTGTGTGTGTGTATCGTGCACACATACATGTGTTTATAGATGTGTTTAATCATTTATGTGGATGTCATAGATAAACTTACATTATATTTTTTATTATTATCATCATCATCATTATTATTCTTATTATTTATTTATTCATCTGTTTATTATTGTATATTATTACTATCCCTACTATTGTAATGTTGATGATGTTTTTTTAAATAACGCCACTGATTCCATTTTTGTAAAAATTATTAGATACTTGTTGTGTTAAATTTTTTTTTTCCGATTTGATAACTTATCCATAAAATTCTCCCCTACCTTCCCCTGTTCTAAAATACAAACATCTCTCCCCCCCCACCACTTCTTACACTTTATTAGCGCTTACCAAATGTTTTAAGGTCAAGTTACTTTCGCTACTTCATTTTATCTTTTCATTTTTTATTTGTTTTTTATTTGTTTTTTATTTGTATTTTTTATTTGTTTTTTATTTGTTTTTATTTGCTTTTTTTTGTTTTTTTACTTGTTTTTTATATTTGTTTTTTATTTGTCTTTTTTATTTGTTTTTTTTTTAAGTCTGGTTTTGTTATCAGATTGTCTGGCTGAATTTATGTCATTTCATAAAATGTTGTTCGTCTGATGAGGCAGGAACGAATAGAAAATCTTTATAAATTTGACGTTTCGAAAATCATTTAGCTTCATAAGAAATTTTGAGAGTGGAATCATTAGGAATTATATTTAAGTTTTTAACTTCTATTTTGTTTTGTTTTTATTCTTCTGAATATTGGCGGTAGTGTTCATGTTTGTATCATTTAAAAAAAAAATTTTTTTTGTTTTCACTTGTTGTTTAAAAACTGAAATATAACTCCAAATAATGTCTGATATATAAATAGCGAAACGTGTCAAATTTATAAAGTTTTCTACTTTTTCATTATTTTATCATTATATCGAATTTAATCCATATTCTCAACTATATATATATATATATATATATATATATATATATATATATATACACACACACGAATGTAATGAGAACGAAAATAATATATACATTCTAAGGTCCACAGCATTAATTCAAAAGAGTAGAGCAATAATTATTTATTTTAATTTTTACATATGGACAAAAACAAAATTGCTTTGTCTATATGTAAAAATTATTATTATTATTGTCATTATATATATATATATATATATATATATATATATATATATATATATATATATATATATATATCTGTAAAGCTGTCTTCAATAATTCACCGAAAAAAAGCATGAAAAAAGGCCAAAAAATTAATAAAAAGGAAGTTTTTTTCGCCAAGAGGAAAGATCAAAGTATTTTTAAAAATATTTTTTTAATCTTTTCTAGCACGTTCGAAATTTTGTTTAAAAATCTTGGTTTGTTTTTACGTCATGAGTCACATAATATTTACCATTTGTTCTTTAGCAACTTTTTTTCAGTTGAAAAACACATTGATTTGGAAATTCTTGCAAAAATCAAATAATTGTCAGATTTGAATGAAACTTTCAGAATTTATTCACAAATGAATGAAGCTATTTTAGAAATGTCTTATTTTTACAAAGTCATGTTAAAATTATTTTTTTTTACATGTTACCACTCCCTTACTTAATTTTATGAAAATTCGACTTTGTGTAATTTACTGATTATATTATTTAAAAGCAGAAGACTTTGAAGAATATAAATCATCGATTTTGTTTTTGTAAATCGAATCGCGTGGCGACCCAACATTCAGCTCTGAATTGTAAAATACAAAACCCAATAAAACTAGGGCATTATTTAATCAGAAAAGCTTTCTATGGCTTTTATGAGTAATATATGATAATGACGATGAAAAATGAATTTTTAGAAGAAATTATTTTCTTTTTCTCAATTTTAAATGCAAAATATGATAAAGTTGTTAATCATTTGAAAATTAAGTTTGAAATCGTGTCTTTTTGGAAATGTAGTTACTAATAAGATCTTTTTTTACAGATCATAAATTTGAAAATCTTATTACAATCTGCGACACGAATGTATTTTTAAAATATTTTTCAATATGCAAAAAAAAAAAAATGTATTAAAAACGTTCTCTCCGAAACTATGGAAGAACATTTCATAAATAATACGTTACGTATTTCAAGCGTTGTTTCTCCTGATAGCGAGGATCGGGCCTCAGAAATTGCTTTGCTTTCCTACTAGCTAGCACGTATCAAATTCTCTGGGTGACCATCATCAGGGCATTTTCAAAATTTTTAATTCTCTTTTTTGCATCCTATTTCACTAAATATATAATTTAATTTTTTAAATATAATTCATTTATTGTTTTTTTAATGAGATACATACTGTAATTATTAATTATTTTCTCTTTTAGATTCAATTTTAGGGACGGAAACAGTGTAGGCTTTGGACATATCTTCGTTAAAAAAATACCCAAAAAATCAATAAATATTAGACTTTTGAAAGTATTTAATTTTTTAAAATTGCCGTATAGTTAAATGAGCTGATCCATTTAAAATTCGAAAATACTGTCACTTCTGTCCTTCCGTCTTATAAATTGTCCTGACGTTAGTTATCGATACATTGATGTAAAGGTCAATTCACACCTCCAAAACAAGTCACCACGGTTAGACATTCTTCTCTTATTATTCAACTAAATTTTTTCTGCCATAAAATTAAGTAATGTTTGTTTCCAATTACATTAAATAAACTTTAATTTTTTTTAATTTTCCTCAAATAACGTTTGAAAAAGTTATAATTGATTTTCACAAAATTTTTAAACGGAGAATTTAACTTTTGTTTACAAAGTTTTCGAAAATGGCGGACATGATCGATTCTATGGAAATTTTGCCGAAAAAAATTCGGACGTGCTAGGAAGGATTAAAATATGTAAAAAAAATAATCAATAAAATAATTGTCTTTCCTCTTAATAATAAGATAAGCATTTAGACCATAAAAATTGTTTATTAAGTTTGGGGAGTTTTTTCGGATACTCCTTTTTAACGAATTAGTGAAAATAGCTATATATATATTAGTAGACATTGGCTCAGGTATAAAGATAATCTGAAAAGCAACCTTTCTTACGTCAACATTCTATTCAAGAACTTTGAAGAGGTAGCTATGAAGAGATCAGTGTATCGTTCCAGCTGCCATTCAGGAATAATTCACCATCAAGAAGTAAGCATCAGTCGACGACGTGAAACACGAAAGCAAAATAAGACAGCTAACAGTGTTTCTGCTGCACATGGATATAATACATTCTCCTGTACTGTTTGTGGTCTTTTGTTCAATTCTGGAGCCGGTCTCAAATAGGCATACAGATATCGTGGCCGTCGGAACCTCATACATCGAACTCTATGGGAGAATCCATCATATATATATATATATATATATATATATATAGTCAAACCTAGTGAGCCAGACAAAGCTACCCAGGTTTCACCTAAGCGGATCGTCAGGGAAAGCTGGCTAAAGAGGCAAAGGAGAAATGCTGTTGATTTTGCCTCTTTAGCCAGCTTTTCCTAAGCATCCGCTTAGGTGAAACCTGGGTAGGTTTGTCTGGCTTACTAGGTTTATCTATCTATCTATCTATCTATATTAATCTATCTATCTATCTATCTATCTATCTAAGCCTGTTCGTCATCTATTTTACTACCAGATCACCTATCTATTTGAAGCAGCACATCTATCTCGAATCGATCGTCTTCTATCGTTCTCTCAGGCCATCCATCTCTCTCTCTCTCTCTCTCTCTATATATATATATATATATATATATATATATATATATATATATATAGATAGATAGATAGATAGATAGATAGATATTGACCAACTTTCCCGGACGTAGGTTTGTCTGGCTCACTAGGTTTATCTAGGTCTGCTCTACGGTTGTATTGAGCTCTTTTGTTAGTTAGTTGTTTACTCGTGTCGGGGTTTTTTTTTTGGGCTTCAAACCTGTATCTGTGCGATTTTTTTTCGACAGACTGTTCATGTTCCTAGCTCTTTCTTGTTTTAAAACCTTTTTCCTTCGAGATTAATTTGATTATTGGCAAATCAAAAATTCGAAGGATTTTCGAGACGAGTATAGTTACCTATATATATATATATATATATATATATATATATATATATATATATATAACCCATAAAAAATATGTACGCAGCGAACAGTAACAAACACCCCTGATAACAGACAGATGGGATGTCAACATGAAATAAAACGTGCAATCTTTATGGACAAATAAAACATTGTCTGTTATTCTGTGTGGACTATATTATCTCACTTTATCTCTCTTCCGCCTTTTCTCTCTATATATATCTCTATCTCTCTCCTCCCCCCTCTCTCTCTCTGCTTTTCTTTTTGCCTTTGTCTCTCGTCTTCCTAACCAATTCACCTAGTTTCCTGTCCTAGTGAATTCCATTTTGGGTCAGCTCAGAATATTTCGAAATGATGATGCTAATTCAATTGTCAAGCAGTGGATAATTCTGTCGACGCACTTAAGCGGCGTCTGTATTATTCCGGCAAAGTTTACCCACTGCCGATTCCGCCCCTCGGTCCCCCGGCTCATCTCGGTCTTTTGTTCTGTTGAGTGACAATTGAACGAACCATGTATAATTTGCATGATGAATAAATTGCGTTTCGTTGATGCCATTTACCGGAAGAGAGTGATTTGATCGAAGTGAAACATGAAATAAATAGTCTGAGAGATAAATAAAAAAAATATATATATATATATATATATATATATATATATATATATATATATATATATATATATGAAGACAAAAACGAAGTTTATTCTTTACCAACGCGTTTCGTCATCTGATGGACATTATCAAGGCAAATGTAAGGATTTTATTTTGCGACATATATTTGTACGCAGTAGTAAAAATATCGCTAGATTTTTAATTTTTTCAAATTTAAGAATGGTCAAAATATTATTTATGCTAACTGTAAAAGTCAAGGTAAACTATGAAGGATGCCAAGTGATTGAATGCTTACAAAACACACACATATATATATATATATATATATATATATATATATATATATATATATATATATATATAAGTTATGAAAAACTTGGTAATCCGTATGGGTAGTCCCAAGGAGGATGAAATCCGGAGAGCTCAATGTAAATCCAGAGCTACTATTTTAAAGAAAAACAGACCACTTTAAGGTTCCATTATAATAATTTATTTCACCAGAGCCCTTTAAAAGGACGCCGGATCATCAGATAGCACTTCAAAAAAATGAAATAAATTATTATAATGGAACCTTAAAGTGCTCTGTTTTTCTTTAATACATACATACATACATACATATATATATATATATATATATATATATGTGTGTGTGTGTGTGTGTGTGTGTGTGTGTGTGAAAATATATAAAAAATAGGAAGGAACTGGTTAGGTAAATAATCTAAAAGTCCCTTAGTATTTTAGTTATTATTTTTAAAAAATAGTGCTCGATACAAAAGTAGAGCATAAATATAATTATTTATTTAAAAATATGATTCCAAATCGCGGCATAAGAAGTCTCATGTTTCAAAACAAGAGCCGAAAACTTCAATGTAATTATTTGAATTAAATTGAGTTAAAATAAGCTCTGTTCCATCTTCACGCGAAATTTTTTTTGGAAGCTTCCAAAGATTAAAAAAAAAATTTCGCTTGAAGATGGAACAGAGCTTATTTTAACTCAATTTAATTCAAATAAATTATTGAAGTTTAACTTTTTTTGTTTTGAAACATGAGATTTCTTATGTCGCGATTTGGAATCATATTTTTAAATAAATAATTATATATATATATATATATATATATATATATATAAATAATTATATATATATATATATATATATATATATATATATATATATATATATATATATATATATATATGATGGGTTGTGAAAGGTTCTCCGACCAAAACGCTTTTTCACAAAACTATCTGTTTTTTTGTCACTTGTTCAAATATTTGGAATAATCATGACCAACAAATTTTCAGCACCCCCTCATATAGGAGGCGCAGTGGAGCGGCTCCGATTGGGGAATCGGAGAGCAGAGTTCAAATTACAGCCATGTTCATTACATTCACTTCCGTGCTAATAATCTTGAATAGGTAAGAAGCCATCACTTCTCTCGCCTGCTATGCATAAATAGCAGGAAAAGCAGGATCCGATAAGGTTTGGATGGCACCCTGACTTCAAAACCTGAGTCCGATTACTTGGGGACCTTTCGGTGCGCTGTGTACCATTTCTGTATATTCGGATCTTCCAACAAGCATGGTGGGTTCTGCAAAAACCTTCACCGCTATAACGAAATCATATGTGCGACTAGCTGTTTGATTCTAAGAACAATGCTGCTGAACCTTCATACACCGAATACAACGGAAAAGTTTCACCGTATAAGACATCTCTACAGATAAATATTCTGTCTTAAAAATGAGACATAACTTATAATTAGATCAAAAACTAGAATTATGAATGTTAACTTACAATATAGGCGGATCTTAAGTGAATTTTGTCAAAGAAATAGCAACTGCGTATCGGAGTCTATGGCACACGTAATAGAATTTGATTAGCCTTGTTCTTGATATTAAACCCGTTACTAAAGATATAAACTCACAGGGGACCACAAGTCACCGGAACTCTTATTTTGGAAAGGCAGACCGTCTCTACTTGAAAAATCTGGCGCAACACAATCTATTTCCACTTCCTCGCAGAATGTCGTTATGTGTTAGCATTATCAGAAACTGTTTTAATTCGGATTATCTTTTCCTTTTAACAATAAACTAATAAAAATGATTCTGCTCATGACAAATTATAAATTTTGCTACGTGAGAACAGAAAGATACTGAGAATGAACGGGACATGTGCGCAACATGGAAGCTTTAAAGAAAATGAAGATCAAACGGACACTTGTACTGAGGATCAGAGAGAGAATTTAAAATTTCTGGGACATATAATGAGGAAAGAGGGTTTGGTGAATTTGATACTGACAGAACAACTGGTGGAAAGAGCGCATCACATACATAAGGAGCTGATACAAATGGATGGAAGAACATTGACTGGGAAGGATCGCAAAGCGGAAAACACTACGAAAGATAGGGAAATTTGGAGAGCCATGATCACCTATGTTCTGAAGATACATGGTATGTAAAACATCTTTACAGATAAATATTCTCTAAAAATGCGACATTATCTTCTATATAACTTATAATTAGATCAAATAGGATTTTGAATGTGAACTTACAAGATAGGCAGATCTTAAGTAAATTTTGTCAAGGAAATAGCAACTGCGTACCAGAGCCTATGTTACACGTATGACACTTTGATTATTAGCCCTGTTCTCTATATTAAACAAGTTTCTATAGATAGAGAAACACAAGGAACGACAAGGCACCAAAACTCTAATTTTGGAAATACACCATTATTTCAGTGAGAACTCAGAATCTTTCTGCTTCTTAGATGCAAATTACGAACAAGTTAATTCCAGGATTTTACAAGTATATTAATCTAATGAAGATTTATCTAGTAACAGTTAACAACAACTTGCAACTCCTTTCATTTTCCATGAATCTAAAAGCCTGCACTGTTTTTCCTCAGTATAAATATCAGCCAGACTATCTACTGTCCAATTAACGATAAAACAAGGCAGCCTTTCTGGTCGTCGCATTTAAAAGAAATATATAAAGGCTATTATCATTGCATAATCTAATGAGTAAAACAACAAGAATAATTTTAAAAAATACGTGGGATCCATTCTATCCAACCTTTCTGATGGGGGTATTCAAGTGTTTGCGTTTGGTGAGGAAATGATAGCGCTGATGAGATCCCTGTTGTGTAATTGTAAACCTGATAAATCAGTGACTCATGAGAGATGAAAATGAGTATACAAAAACACGTATGTTTGTCATGGCGAAATAGTGGAAGATGGGGCAAGCGTTGTAGATAGGAAATCTCTCCAAGAACAACCGAAAATTAAAAAGAGATTAAGAAGCAAAAAAAAAAAAAAATTACCCTCCCGCCGTCAAAAAAAATAAAAAAAAAAAAGATTAAGAAAATATAAATAAATTCATTTACACAGGAATACGTGACCTATCATTTTCTGCTGGGCGGATATTTTTCCCGGCCCTCTGGGCTTGGTCCCTAAAATATGGATGTTGGAAATATCAAGATATGCTAGGATACTGATCGAAAATGTCGTTTGCATTGGAACAGGGTGAATATAACGGCAGAATTGAAACTTGGTCAGATTGAATCCCTAACGTCATAATCACGGATAAGGATTAGTTATAAATGACTGGCGATAAGAGAATCAAAATAAAATTAAAAAAATATATATATTTAAGTCTGCGTGTACCATATATAATCTAGTATAGTGCAAGATTTTATGATCAGATTTACGCAAAAATTGGTCTTCGTACTATATAAAGATAATTTTTTGAACAGTTTAAAAATCATGTATATTGGGTCACTGGTTGCGCTATAAACAGGTAATTGTTCCTGAGGGGTTCATGTAAAATATTCAGGGTGTCGTACTATACACGAAGTCGATTTCTACACGTATATATATATATATATATATATATATATATATATATATATATATATTATAAATTAATTGATTTAAAATATGTTTTTTTCCGCTACACAGTTCTAACCATGTTTCAAAAATGGAAGCTAAAACCCACGAATTTAATATT